GCACTTCCCTAGCAGGGTTTTTGTGGCATCTCAAAAACCCTGCATGGAAAGAACTTAAGCTTTTTTTGCTGGCATAGACCCTGGGAATGCCAGGTGTTGCTGGAAATTCAGCACTTTGGATGCAGGTTGTTAATGGCAGGCAAAAGAAATGGGTAAATAAAAAGCTTGTGTAATTTTGTTTAATGTAGGGTGTTTTTAAGGTCAATGCAGAACAAAAGTGTACTATTCAGTCCTGTATTCTGGCCTGGATTGAACTTGACAGTAACGATACAGCAGTGTCTTTAGTGCAATAGCATTCTCACCAGTGCCCTGCCAGTGCAGGTGGTTTTTATTGAGTTTATATCACTCTTTCTGTTTAGAAAGAAGAGCATTCACTTAAAGAAAGGGGATCTGAAGATCAGGAATGCTCGAGTTTATTGCAAAAAGATGGACATTTTCATTAGACTGTTTTTTTTTCTGCTTTGGGTCAGACAGACATACCTGAGCGCAGCCCTTCTACTAATATTTTAAACCTGTCTTTCTACTCAGTAATTCAGAGGAGGAAAAAAAAAAAAAAAAAAGGACAGAAGAATCAAACAGTATTTTTAACCTTAGCTAAAGGCAGCTTGAGTCAAAGGAACTTTTTGTTAAATTTCAGTAGTCCTCCTTCAGTAACATTTATTCTAACTTGATCAAAAACGCAAACAGCCACTAACCATCATCATTGTCATATACACCCCGAGACAAAACCCTCTGAAATTAATTGCCTTTTCATCAGGTTCAGATGTCTCATTTCATGGTTCATAACTTTTCATTTCGTATGCCAAAATATCATTAAAGGCAGATATGCCCCTTTGACACATGGAGAAATTCTACTTCCTGATATTAATTTTACATTTTTGTTGTTGGTCTTTGTCCTGTCTCTGCTTCTAGAGGCCACAGGCTGTGCTACATTTCACATTTTTGGAGTGGGGAGACTTTAAATTGTTATAGGAAMAGCAAACTGTTCACCTTGGAGTTGTCTATTGCAATCCAACTGGCTCAGAAACAATGTCCAAAAGCTTTTTAGTGAACATCTGATGTCCCACTTTCATGGTGAGGAGGTGTCAATGTCAGAGCCTGCAGACAAGTCTGACAGACAGCAAACATTAAAGGAATTAGCAGCAAAATCTCCCAATGACAAGAATTTCAGGGATGTATAATCTTCTCAAAGTGCAGATAGCAGCTCCATATATTCCATATATTATTTCCGAAAATCAGCCTTTGTTGTGAGAGCTGAGCTTAAAGGGCAGGACCTGCGTGCCTGGTGCCTGGGAAAGGTCAGAGACCAAGAGCTCTTGTCTGGCCGTGCAGCATTGCAGCAAACTTCCTGGGTTGCAAACGTTCTGCAAAAGCTTCAGGAATGCCAAAATAATTTCCTTTTTCTCTATGCACTGTGGCAAGCTTTTCAGCTGAAGCATTTCAAGCTGCTCAAGTATCTCTGAAYGAATCCAAGCTAGAAAAGAGGCTGAAATGGAGAAGAGAAAAAACAATAGAAAAAACACAACGGTTTTGAGAGAGGGAGGCCTAAGTTCACGCTCTGATCCTTAGGTGAAACATTTRTAGACTCCAAAGTTTCCTCCCAGTCATTTCATTATGATGTCTAGGTGCTTTTTGTCATCTCCGGGTTTTTCTCCCTACCACAAAAAAACAAGTTGTGAGATGAACCAGGCTGCAATTTGCAGGTTCCCGGTATGGAAAGCCAAGACAGGAATGTATACTTCCAGTTTTCATCAGTTATTTTCGGGATGTTCCTGTCTGTCTCTCACGGGGTATCGTGAAGGATGGCCAAGCAGGAASGTGCTCATCCCTGCAGGCTCGGGGCGTTCGGTGTGGTACTAATGCATCATTTTAGGCACTAACGAGCATGTCACATCGGTGTGTGAAGGAGGATGGATGTCCCTCCGGTGCAGAGTCTGAGTGATGCTCAGAAGAGACAGCTTCCCCCATCTGTACTCTGGTGAGTCATGTCCGCATTAGACCCAATCCAAGTCTGTCGTTTGCTGTCTTCTGGAGAAGATAAACCTGCCCTGCTGAAGGCAAATCCATCATTGCCACGCGTGACAAAATAAGGTCACAGAAGGATCCCAAGCTTTATCGCAAAGATCGTACACTTTTAGTTCCATCTTCCTRTCTTTTATCTCTTTCTTTGGGGTGTCGTATTTGACTTCCTTACCACCACGAGGGTTGTTCTTGCTGCTCCTCTGAAATACGGCTCAAATCCTTTTTCTCCACACAGATATGATTTCCTTACAAACTTAGGTTTGTTCCCTTTGCTTTTGCACGTTTTGATTTCTCTGTTCTGAGGTTTTCCCTTCATCTGGCCTCTGGTTCCATACTAAATGCCTTTCAAATATAATCAYGTATTGTTGAGGTCATTTTATTTTCCAGTAGTCGTGACTCCCTTCTCTTTCCACTTATTTTTATTTATTTATTTATTTTATGTGTTTTCCTGTTCTCTTCAAACTGTTAYGAGTAGAGTTCAAGTCTAAAATTCTGTTTATTGGTATCTATCCTGAGGATTTCACTGAACCACAGATAGTGCAAACTAAATACATGTTTCTGCTATGTTGTTATACCATCAACTGCCTTCAGTAGGGAGGAAAATGTCTGATACACGCATGGAAACAAGGATGAGGTTGGCCCTACAGCCGTCACAGTGCTGACTATTTCTGCAAGATTGTTGGAATGTAAAAGCAAGGAAAATGGGGAGAAAGGAAGGAGAATCACTTCTAGATTGTTCAAGACTGATGGAATTTTTGTCCAGTTAGCCTCATTTTTTCCAAATGTCATTTCTAGCCAATAACTAGAGCTGTAATTCTTCATGAATCATGCATGTAGCCACGATTTCCTCAATGGGTGCCCAGATTAGAGTAATATAAAATGTGCACAACCTGAACAGTGATTTTTTTTTTTTTACCTAGACTTTTTGTCTTTAAGTCACTTGGTGGATGACTTCTAAAAATAGGAAAATCATTTATCTTAAGGAGAATAATGGCCTATAAAACATAGAGGTAATTTCTTCATATTTATAAATCTTTTCCTCGTATTATGAATAGCCTTTTTAATAAGCCCTTCATGAAGGCATTAAGAGCAAGTATGTCCTCAGATTTTATATGTGCTGTACTTCATTCCCAGGTTAGGGACTACCCACACTCCTGAGAAGGACTAAATACTTTCTAGTCCCATGGACAATGTTGGTCCCCAGTTGCCTGGAACTCCTAGTGAACGTGGCATCTTCTTTAGACATTATGCAAATGCAAAAAACTCCATCTAGAGTTCAGAATAGATACTAAAAAAAAAAAATCGGGATCTTGAATGGTCTCTACAGTGCAAGCTTTCTGTTTTGGTCACATATGGGTTGCTTAGTTAGGACCTTCTGGCCATTTGCACTTAGGTAGCACCTCTGTTCCTATTTGGCAACACAAAGACTGCTTGAAAAACAGAATGAAAATTTTAAAAGACTAATGAAAATGAAAGTTCAGGTCCTGAACACTGATATAAAAAGACTATTAATCCTTTCTCCTGGTACCTAGAATGAGGTGCAATTATGAATAGAAAGATTATTCCAAGTTATGACAGATTTGATGAAAGAACATTCAGCTGCTGTCAGAAGCAAAGTTATTATATTGCTGCTAATAGGTATTCATCAGGTTTCTGRGGAGTTAAATTACACCAAATAATAAAAGGTGTGAATGTCAGTTCTTTTGGGGCAGGTAAGAACTAGAAGAAAGCACCTCCCAGGAATGCCAGCCCAAACCCCTTGTCTCCGTTGGCACTTTTTTTTCCATATCCTCTTGACCAGTCCATTTTCTGCCCAGTGAAGCTTTGGTAAAGCTCCAGCCTAGGAAACCCTCCACCCTCAATGGTCTAAAACCATTAGGACATCTAACCACTGTCTTCCCAGCCTATTCCAGGAACTAAAGCTAGTATGAGAGGAACTGTAAAAGCCCGTTCCCAGACTGAAGTCAACAAGAGCCCATCTGACTAATTGGACTTTGGAGAAGGTCCAGAAAGGCACAATTCCAAAATCTGCCTTGTGAGAAACACCACTGCAAGCCCTAGAATGAAACTAATTATGTGTGGTAGGAGGATTCCTTCTCCTGTCTCYGTCTCTAGTCCCATTCCAGGAAGGATGCAGGTGAGGAGCTAGTGGGAAAACTCACCTCCTGTTCTCTACCTGGAACGCTTTTTGTCCATTCTTTTCATCCACTGCTTTTCAACTGCCACAGTTGAAAATACAATAGCAGAACTCAAGAACTAGTGTTTTGGCAGAGGAAATCCCTGTTTGATCCGAGTTTGTTGTAGCTATTTGGATTTCCACTCAGCATTTTGGAAAATACCAATAGGCACTGTACACAGAATTCCTGCTAGAAACAGCAAAGGGATATGGCCAAAGACATGAGCCACTTGGCTAGTCACCTTGGAAAGCACTTACCAGCAAAAGATAGAGAAACTATTCAAAGAGATGATTCGTTTAGTTTAGCTTAGTTTCTCTTCATGTTTGTCCTTCAAAACAAATCAGAAGGTTTGGTTTGATCCTTCTTTAAATCAGGTTTCATTTCCTGCATCTGAATTTGCATTTTCAGGACAATGATACAAAAAATGGTCAATAACAGCTGCACTTTTTGCGTTTTACCCAGTGCCTTTCACAGCATCCAGGCAGCGTGTGTGCCTTAACTGCAGCTTGCTCCCGGTTTCCTCAAGCATCTCAGCCTGAGCTTTTTAATGCAACAGTCATTTATTTTGTGTGTATTTCTTGGATGTCTTTTAGCAGATACCTCAATGGACAGCGATGCAAGACAGGCTTTGCCTTTTGTTTTGCGTGCAAGCAGTCGGGCACCACTGCAGCCTCTCACTTGGTGCCACTACAACATAAGCTAATAATTAATCCGAGGAAATGCCCCTTGCAGTAACATTAACAGATGGCCCGTCAGATTTGAATCACCATGTTAATCATTTCTGTTCTTTGCCCGGTCCAGCTGGCTCAGCCCGAGGAACATGAGGGCCGTGCTGCTCGTGCTCCTGGTGTCCGTGGCGGATGTTGGCGCCTCGACGGACGCGGCGCAGCCGAGACGGGAGCCGCGGCGCCTCTCGTGCGTGCGCTGCTGCCGCCCGTCGGAGCAGCCCGTGCCCGTCCCCGCCTCGCGCTACACRAGGATGAGCAATGACCCTACCTACTCGCTTCCCAAGGTCCAGCCCACCATAGATATCACCATCCTCAAAGGTGGGTAAAGGTGACTGCCGCGGGCACGTCCTGCCAGGCTTCCTCGGCACGCTTGTTTTGCAAGGTGTGCTAGCCCCCCATGCTGAGAAAACAGTTTTGTATGATTTACTGAATAAAAAAAGTCAAGGGGGGATACGATACAGGTTATCAAGGTGTGCAAGCAAGAAGAGATGCCAAGAAAGTTCTAATCCRTCAGAAAAAGTCAATGTGAAACTGAGTCACTGAAAGTTCAGGTTAGACCACACAAGAAACCAGCTGCAAATGTTATCTCAAAACTGCTAAATGGTAGAATAAGGTATAAAGAACATGGATGCACACTCACTTTTTCTGTGTCACATTTTTGTGGCATAGAGGCACTGTTAAAAATGTCACTAACTAGGAGCTTGTTAATGTCTTTAGGATCACCCGCACTTGGGATGTGTCAGGAGCAGCTCGTTCATGCAAGAAGTGGACAGTCACTGAGAGAGCATCATCTCATGGTGACGCAAAGCTGAGATTTAGAAGGAGAATAATGTCCAACTAAGGCATCTAGATACCTGTGTTGTCAAAATGGTATTTTAGCAGGTACTTCGTGGTTGTCTCCAGCTGGGGCTTCACATGTCTGGGGCTGACAACGTTTTCCTTTATGCTCACAGGTGAGAAGGGTGAAATGGGAGAAAAAGGGTACCCTGGAGCGGTGGGAAAGGAAGGAGAGAGAGGCCTCCGTGGCTTTAATGGACGAAAGGGCCAAAAAGGCCAGCCCGGCCCGCAAGGCCATTCCTGCAAGCAGCTCTATGCTGCTTTTTCAGTGGGTCGCAGAAAACCCCTTCATAGCTCAGACTATTTCCAGCATGTCACTTTTGACATGGAGTTTGTGAACCTCTACAAGCACTTCAACATGTTCTCGGGGAAGTTCTTCTGCTACGTGCCAGGAATCTACTACTTCAGCCTCAACGTCCACACCTGGAACTTCAAGGAGACTTATCTGCACTTGATGAAGAACGAGAAAGAGGTGGCCATCCTCTACGCCCAGCCCAGCGACCGGAGCATCATGCAGAGCCAGAGCCTGATGCTGGACCTGCAGGAAGGAGAGGAGGTCTGGGTGCGGATGTTCAAGCGAGAGCGAGAAAATGCCATCTATAGTGAGGAGTCTGATGTTTACATCATCTTCAATGGCCATCTCATCAAGCCAGCTGTAGAGTAGCTGTTCTTCGGCTTTAGGCTCCAAGCTTTTTTAGGGATTTTGTCAGCTGCATTAACATTTTCCCTCTTAGAAGTGCACATGTCCAGCTCTACTTGGAAGGACCATGACTGGCAGCATCTTGGACCATGGATGGGGTTGTCTGAATAGTCCAAGAAGAAGGTGCCAGTGTGGATGGAGGGGTGACGTTTTGAGGTGATGCAAGGAGAAGGTTTTAGTCCTTACGTGCCCTGGGGATGAAGCACGTGAGGCACCAACCTGCAGCACCGCAGAGATCCCCACTTACATCTCCATCCGATTAGTCTGCCAGGTCAGGAGCAAAAAATTAACCACTTTGCTCTGCTTTAAAGACGACATTTTAATTAGATCTAAGGACCATCTTCAAATACCRGTTATCTGGGTGCTAGTTAAGGAATGTAATTACTCCCACAGCATTGCTAAGACGTCTTTGCAACGTGCAGGAACTGCTAATAAGATGAAGAGTCTACTCTATCACTTACAGCCGGGGCGGGCGACRAGAGTGCAGCACGGTGAATATTTCACACAGTACATTTACCCTAAATTATACTTTTGTTCCGTTTCATGTAATACGACGTTCTGAGAACATGAGAATTGCATAAATAACAGCACACTGATCTGGCAAAGCTTTTTCAGAGGCACAGAGTTTAAGGACAGATGTTGCTGCACACAGCGACTCTGCTGGACTGCTGTGTTCTTAACCATGAGAATACTCAGCGCGGGTGGAAACCTCTATATTCCCGTGAAAACTGCGGGCTCTACTCTAGGATCCGATTTGCAAGTGCTCATTGCTGAGTGGAAGTGTAAGGACATCAGCATGTCTGAACACTACCACCTTACAGCATCCACGTTCCCAGAAATTGGAGAAGAAAAATAGAAAGAAAATAATATTTTATTGCAAACAGTGATTTTCACTTTTGTAAAATGTACTGCCTGGCCAGTGGAAAGGCACGTGCAGCAGCAAGAAGCCTTGTTTGAGCAGCTCCGCTTCCCCGGGCCCCCTTGTTTGCCTTGTATGAAGGACAGAGCACAAGCTCTTGCTGCGCAGGCTGCTTTGCCTCCTCTCCACCGCTGCTCAGGAAAGTAGCTAAAATAATAAAAATAAAGATACTGCTTTGAGTACATGGCCTTTGTTTATCTCATTTCCATTCGCTTTTCACAGTACGGGACTAAAAGCAGTAGACTGAACATCTAGTTCCACATAATCATCCAGGGGGGCAATTTTATTTAATGCCAAAGGACTCCAGGACCCCTTCAATTCCTTTCCTTGCAGGCCAGTGAAGAGCCATCATCTGGTGTAAAGCTGGGCAGGCAGAGAAGTTAATGGCTTGTTGCTGAAAAATAGATAGCAAATCTTTTAAAAGTCTTACAACCTTAGTGAAAAGAGGAACTTTTAACTAGCCTGTCTGCATAGTAATAAAACCTTGGAGAAAACGGGTCCAGGGCCGTTGAAACAGCAGGTAACAACCTGCAAAGTGGGAAACTCACAGCTTTAAAAAACGTGCTGTCAAGGGGCAACAAAGATGTTTTGTGCAGATTTTCTGCTAGCCTGCTGACAGGTACCCCAGGACTTAGGCCAGGCCATTGCACAGCATTTCCTTTTTCTCCCCTTTTTTTAAGGATTAAAAAAATAATAATAATAAAAAGAAAAAGCCTGCTAATCAGCGATTTCCATTAGGATGGTGGTAAAAGCCCTAATGGCTGCACTGCTTGTTTGCAGCCTGCCGCTTAGCACCGAGAGCTGGAGCTGGGAGATGCCAGCCCTGAGCAAGCTGGCCTCGGTGCTGGCATTTGCACATGCCTTAAAAGGGTTTTTTTGCTTCATTTCTACCTCTCTCCTCACTCAGTCCTGGATTTTGCAGCTGCAGAAAGTCACACCTTGCTGCACGGCCGGGTTTGGGGAGGCAGGGACATGGGAATGTGGCTGAGATGCCCGCGGCAGAGCAGGGATCATCCAGTGCAGCTGAACCCGCTGCGGGGCTGTCCAACACGTCACGTATTGAGTGATTTGAGCACTGCTTCGGCTCGCTCCCGCTGGAGCTCCCTGCATCGACTACAGTTACAAACAGAAAAACATCTAGGCCTCTTAAAATGTCATACCCAGCTGGAGCTATTGACAGCGCTTAATCCAGCGCTGGAAAACACACACACACGCAGAGGGGGTTTGGGTTCAACCTGCACCCATTCTGGAAAAGTTGCTTGCTGCCAGGAAGCAAGGAAAAATGCATGTATACACATCTGAGTATCCATATGCATCTCTTCCTGACAACCCCATAACGTGCAATTAGACAGACTGATTGCCTACGTGATAACACACATTCAAAATGCTCTTGGGTGGCACGTCAGTGTGATAAGCAGGTAAATCACTGAAGCCACCTTTATTTAAGGTGCAGAAKAACTTTCGAACAAATAAAAGTGGTTGCTGCTGCATGCACGTGTGTACTGTTAGCTGTTGTGTTAGAGAACTGGAATTTTCACTTCATATCAGAAACAACAACAAAAACCCATGGCATTAAAGGCTGCATGGCTGGGCCAAGCAGCCTGTGCTGTGAGGGAAACCTCCTCTCCAGCTTGGCATTCAARTGCATAGCTTCCAATACAGATATTTAGGAGAYAGAAATGTACGTTTCTATTAGGGCYTTATTGACTTTKTATACACATGCATAAAAAAGAAAACTYTCCTTTTAAAATATCTAAAAAGCATCATGTGCCACAAAACTCTTGCAGCCACCTTTTGAATACAAGTATCATTTTTTCTCTGACTTCAAGGGCTGAAATAAGCACCCCTCTTTGGAGCCGTTTAATGAGCCAAACCCAAAGTACAAATATCTGAGATCTGCCCATCAACATACAAGCGTTTTGCCAGGGCCTCTCATATAGCAGAACTTAAATTCCTTCTTTCCAGCAATACGTGACATGGATAGCTAGGCTTAACAAAAAAAAAAGAGAAAAAGAAAGAAAAAAAAGGCTGTAAGTAATGCAGTGAGCAATATTATATACAAAAATGATAAAACTGTCTCAACTACTGTAAATCCCAGGTACATTTTATTAATAAGTTATTATCTTTTATACATCTCTTTCACCTAAGAACCATTGCAGAAGATAATTCCCCATAGTACAAGGGACTAGTAATACCAGCTGGACTAAATAACCTGTCATTTTCCCYAGAGTGCAGCCAGGAAGGGCTAATAAATACGAGGTGCAGGTGATGCTGATGTGAGTGTGAGGAGCAGGACGAGAGCTCCTGAAATCAGAGCTGCAGCTTAAGGAAAGCACCAGGTGAGAAGCAGCAACCTTGGAGAATCTGGCTGGCATGGGGAGATAGAAATGAGCTTAGACACATCCAGTACCTATTTTCTGACCATATATATGCTCTATATTTGCACTTATTGGCCCCAGAGCTGCCCCTAGGGACTAGATAAACTCTTCTAGCCTCCTCCAGAGCAGCACCTCCCAAGGGGAAGGTGCTTGCATGTTATCTGTCCTTGCTTGCAATATGAGGACAGATCAGGCTGAGTTTGATCTGCAGGATTATGGATCTAAAAAGTAATAAATGGGAGAGAGCAAGGAAATGACCTGCCCTGCCTGGGAGAGCGTGAGATTTATGTTCAATATTAGGAAAAAATACTTTGACTAAAAGGAGAGTTGAAGTCCATGAGTGGCTGCAGCAAGAAATATAAGTCCTAGATCCCTAAAAGCCTTTGAAGGCAGCCTAGGACCTGCCAGGAATGATAAAGGTGGCCCCAGCTCAGGGCAGAGGAAGGAGCTGCCTAGCTGCACAGTGTCCCTTTAACCTTCTTCTGCTAGGTTTAAGTTTCAGCCTTTTATCCTAGAGGAAAGTAGGAAAAAGCCRCAAGAAAGAATATCCCCTAAAATCCACCACACGAGGAAGTTAAACCAGGCCTGCCTTTGCCTTGTTCTAATGCGTTCCAGCTGTAATTTCCAATATTGTAAACTTAAACTCAAGCAACCTCGCAGCAAGAGCCCAGTAATTACTAGGAATCTATCTGCCCCATTGAATCCTAAGCCTAGGTCTGTCTTATGACTTCCAAATGTGCTCMTTCATTATCCTTTCTTCGATGATTGCACCAAATGAAGCATTGCGGGGCTGCTGCACAGCCCTTACCTGGCTACGGAATCCCTCTGCAACTTGCTTTTGCTCCTTGTCTTAGTTCTAGTGCCTGGAGGTGCAAGACAGGAAAAAGTCCTGGGGCTATGGAATAGACTTGACCTGGCTCACTCCTCCTGGCTCAAACAAAGAAACATCTAACTTCTAACAGAGCCTGACCTCCTTCCAATTTTCCTGGGGAGCTAAAATAGTGCAATTTTTTTATTATTTCTTTTTATTTTTTCTGAAGTCTCTTTCCCCTTCCCCCGTCCTTTTTTTTTTTTTTTTTTTAAGGGAAAAAAAAAGGCCAAAGTGAGTGAGCTGCTCTCATCAGGCAGCAGATGACATGGTGCCCACCTGCATCTGCCTTAATGAGCCAGGGACTAGATAAGGCAGTGGCAAAAGCTCTGCTGACACTTAGGCTTGTTGGGTTTGGGCAGGGGGATTGGGGTAGGCTCCGTGAGGAGGATGCTAGGGAGACATTGGGGGACATTGTTCTTCTCCACTGTTCTTATCTAAATGGCTAAAGCTTCTAAGCYGGTCCTTGACTCTGGAAGGGTATTTTTGCAAAGCCAAAACAAGACTCGATAGGGTGAGTGGTTGTGTTTGCCTGCTTGTTTGCAGCATCATCGAAGCCAGGTGAGACCAGGGCTGGAGGCTCATTCAGAACCCGCTGTGCTGGCCGCTAAAGCCAACTTGGTGGCAACCAAAGCCGTCTCCTTTGGGCTCCTAGTGGCTCCGCTGGTTTCTGGTGCCCTGGCTGCTCCTGTGAGGATGCTCTGATCCCGCTCCTGCTCCAGACCAGCTCCCCGAGCCGCAGCTCGATCCAAACCCTCATGCTGCACCGAAGCCTTTCGCTGTCCTTTACGCAGATCAGGCAGCTCCCTGATCTGATTGCAGCCGAGAGCAATAATCCACCCCTTCCTAATTGCTGCAATCAGGCAGCTCTGGGCTTCTGGTGCAGGAAGGGCTGAGCCCTGGTGCCTTTGCTAGCGCAGCCAGTCAGTCCCCATGCTGCCAGCCTCCTTTCCAGGTGCGAATTTCCCCTCACCTCCCACTTTCTGCATTTCTTCTTCCCTCCCTGCAAATATTCAGAAATGGGGAATTTCTGAATGGGGAATTTCTGGGAAATGGGGAATTTCTGAATTCTGACGCTCACCATGCTTCTCCCAAGGGAGCTTTTGCTGTAAAACCAGCCCGGAGCCCCCTGCTAGAATGGGGCCATAACCGAGAAGGCTCAGGGGGCCCGCAGGCAGCTTTTCTCCGAGCAGATCCCCACGTGGGACGAGCACCGGGTGGCATCGTGAGCACAGCGGCTCCRAGCCACGAGCTCGGAGCTCAGCCTGCCCAGCTGGCTCAGGAACCGCTGGGTGTTTGAGCTACCGACCCCAGGGGATTTGTGCCGTGCTCAGCCTTTATTTTTAACCCACCGAGTAAGTGAGGAGGGAAGAACAGAGGCAGAGAATAGGAGTGGGTCACAGCAGTATCTCTACTCCTTAGGCTGCAGACTCCAAAAAGAGCTTAAAAAAATAAAATGGGGAGCGGGGTACAAAAGAATACAAATAAGAATCCCCRAAAAGAATGGGAACACAAAAGACTGAAATCTGTTCCAGCCAGGATTTCTTTGAAGGACCAAGCAGGCTTGCCCCTTTTCTAGACCCTTTGCACCATTAATAAAACTTTTACCCTGGCATCTCGACTGCATTGCGTAACCGAGCTGCCATTGCCAGCACACTGGCTCCTTCCTCCCTAAGGAAACTATATGTATATGTATGTTGTGTATATATATATATATATG